ATGAATGGGTGTTGCACTTTGTCGAAAGCTTTCTCAGCATCTATTGATATTATCATATGGTTTTTATATTTCTTTTTGTTGATGTTTGGATAACGTTGATTGATTTTCGGATGTTAAACCATCCTTGTGCCCCTGGAATGAATCCAACTTGGTCGTGGTGAATTATCTTATGAATACATTGTTGGATTCTGATAGCTAAAATTTTATTGAGGATTTTTGCATCAGTGTTCATTAGGGAGATTGGCCTATAGTTTTCCTTTTTTGTGTTGTCCTTATTCGGTTTTGGTATTAGTGTAATATTGGCTTCATAGAACGTGTTTGGTATTGCCCCTTCCTTCTCAATTTTTTGGAAGAGTTTGTGAAGGATAGGCACTAATTCGTCTCTGAATGTTTGGTAGAATTCATTTGTAAATCCATCAGGTCCTGGGCTTTTGTTTTTGGGGAGGTTTTTGATTACCATTTCAATTTCGCTAATTGTAATTGGTCTGTTTAGGTGTTCTATTTCTTCTTTATCTAGCTTTGGGTGATTGTAGAGTTGTAGGAATTTGTCCATCTCCTCTAGATTGTTGAACTTGTTTCCATATAACTGTTCATAGTAGTTACTGATTATTCTTTTGATTTCTGCTGTGTCCGTTGTGATTTCTCCTCTTTCATTTATGATTCTGTGTATTTGTGCTTTCTCCCTTTTTTCCTTTGTGAGCCTGGCTAGGGGTTTGTCTATTTATTTATTTTTTTCAAAGAACCAGCTCTTGGTTTCATTGATCTTTTGGATTGTTTTTTTAGTTTCAATTTCATTTATTTCTGCTTTGGTTTTTATTATTTCTTTTCTTCTACTGGTTCTGGGGTTTTTTTGTTGTTCTTTTTCTAGATCTTTGAGCTTCGAGATTAGGTTGTTTCTTTGAGTTCTTTCTTGTTTTTTGATGTGAGCTTCTATTGCTATATATTTTCCTCTTATTACTGCTTTTGCTGCATCCCATACATTTAGGATATTGGTGTCCTCCTTGTCATTCAATTCAAAGAATTTTTTAATTTCTTCTTTGATCTCCTCGTTAGTCCAGTGGTCTTCCAGTAGTGTGGCTTTTAATCTCCATGAGGTAGGATAGTTCCTTGCCTTCTTTTTATGATTTATTTCTAGTTTGATGCCTTCGTGGTCAGAAAAGATGGTTGGTATGATTTCAATCTTGGTGTATCTGTTGATGTTTGTCTTGTGCCCCAGTATGTGATCGATCCTGGAGAATGATCCGTGTGCGCTTGAGAAAAATGTGTACTCCGTTTTTTTTGGGTTTAGTGTTCTATAGATGTCTGTTAAGCCCAAATGCTCTAGGTCCTTATTTAGAGCTTTAGTTTCTTTACTTATTTTTTGTCTTGTTGATCTATCCATTGTTGATAGTGGTGTGTTGAAGTCTCCCACTACATATGTGTTTTCTCTGATGTCTGTTTTCAGAGAGGACAACAGTTGTCTGATATATTTTGGTGCCCTTTCGTTTGGTGAGTATATGTTAATGAGTGTTATTTCTTCTTGAAGTATTGTCCCCTTAATCATAATGTAGTGACCATTGGGGTCTCTTTTTATTTTTTTGAGTTTGAAGTCTGTTTTATCTGATATAAGTATAGCTGTTCCTGCTTTCTTTTTTGGCCCATTTGCTTGTAGGATTGTTTTCCATCCTTTGACTTTGAGCCTATTTTTATCTTTTGTAGCTAAATGTGTTTCCTGGAGACAGCAAAAGGTTGGGTTTTGTTTCTTAATCCAGGCTGCAAACTCTGTGTCTTTTTATTGAAGAGTTTAGTCCATTTACATTTAGAGTTAATATTGATATGTTAGCATCTGTATTTGCCATTGTTTGTCTTTCCTTTGATTTTATTTATTTATTCTTTTAATAACTTTTTTTTTTTTTTGGTCTTCTTTCGTTGTTATTCGTCCCTCTGAGGTTCTGGCTTTAGGATTCCTTGTAGTATTTTTTGGAGTGGGGGTTTAGTCGCAATGAAACTCCGGAGTTTCTCTTTGTCTGGGAAGGTCCATATTCTTTCTTCATGGAGGAAAGAGAGCTTTGCGGGATAGAGTATTCTTGGTTGGCATCTGTTTTCTTGGAGTCTGTTGACTATGTCCCTCCACTCTCTCCTTGCCCGTAGTGTTTCTTCAGAGAAGTCTGATGTCAGCCTGATTGGTTTTCCTTTGAATGTTATCTGTCTCTTCCCTCTTGTCAGCTTCATTATTTTTTCCTTGTCCTGGATTCTTGGGAGCTTTACTATTATGTGTCTTGCTGTGTTTTTCCTTTCGTCGTGGAAGTTTGGTGTTCTTCTTGCTTCTTGTATATCAATTTTCAGCTCCTTCTTCTCATTTGGGAAGTTCTCTTCAATTATATCCATGAATATTTTCTCTGTTCCTACATCTCTCTCCTCTCCTTCTGGAATTCCTATAACTCTTATATTTCCTTTCCTCATGGAGTCAGATAGTTCCCGAAGTCTTCTTCATTCTTTTTCCTTCGTACTTCTCTTTCCTTTTCTGTTTTGGTTCTTTTTATTTCTGTGTCTTCAAGATTACTTATTCGTTCTTCCATTTCATCTATTCTGCTTTCATTGCTTTTCCCAGAGTTCTTTAGTTCCTCCATTAATTCTTTGATCTCCCGCATTTCTCTTACTTCCCTCTTTAGGGACTCAATTTCCTTCTTCTGATCTATCACTTTTTAATCATGGCAATTTTAAATTCTCTTTCTGGAAGGCTCAGAAGTTCTTCCAAGTTGCTGTCGTTGCAATCTGGGGAGTGGTTTTCTTTTGTGGTATGCTTCTTTCCTGAGGAGTTTTTAGGTTGCGTGTGGTTCTTCTACTCCCTACTGTCTGTTTTCTAATTTGTCGTATGCGTTGGGACACTGTGTCTTGCTGGACTGACTGACATCTTGGGTGAACTTCTCCGCTCCCTCTGGCTCTTCCAGGAGCCATCTCTGTCTTCTGGGGGAGCTTTCTGCTGGTTTTAGGCAGTTTTTACTGAAGAAATGTCCCTGTTCTCAAATGGCGAAGCGGGATGCAGTCCCTGCGCCTCCGGTTTTCAGGCACACTCTTCTGCGCACCCGGTCTGCCCCGGACGTGGGTGCCTGCTCCCTCTGTGGGCTCAGACTGCTGGTCAGAAGGGGCCTGGCGTGGAATAACTTCCCGGCTGGCCACTGGGTCCTCCAGAAACCTTCTGTCCTTTTCAAGCAGTCTTAAGAAATGTCCTGTTTTATAGGGTGTTAGTGACTTTTTTTTTTCCTGGTCGCTAGGTGGCGCCAGAGATCTCTCCTATTGTCCTTGGGGGGCTGTTTTTCGCCTCCCCCCACCCCGTGGGACAGAGAACAGAGCGGGAATGGTAGGGTTCACCTCAACAGCTTTGGGGTGCTGTGTCTGCCTTGTGCCCCACCGTCGTGGAGAAACCACGCCCCGAATTTTCGTGCCCCAGGTCTCAGTTCAAAGCCCTCAGTTCCAGGACGCGGGCTGTAGCCCAGTTCAGTGGCGCTGGAATGGCGCCTTTTGCACAGCTCCCGTGCCTGGGCGCCTGGTTCCTGCTCACTCAGGGAGGGACCTTCACCTCAGTGAGGACCTCCGCGCGTCTCCCCGCAAGCCTAGGTCGTCTCCCCGCAAGCCTAGGTCGCAGGCGCGGGGACCTGGGCAGCCGCGATCCAGGTCTGCACTTGCTTTTCAAGTGCACCGAGCGCGCCGCGTTTCCGCGCCAGCTTACCGGCAGCCTGGGCTGTGTGCGCGTCTCCCGGGGTCTTTGTTCTTCTCTAATGGCGCCCGGAGCCGGTTCGCTCACCGCCGCGACGGATCCTGCAGGGTTCGCCTCAGCTCCCGTTCACGGGGTGTGGTGGCTGCAATAGTTCCTTTCCACTCACAGTCCCGCTTGCTGTGTCGTTTGTTCTTGTGGGTCGTTTTGGTTTGTTGTTTCCTCCTCTCTGCCGGGCGGAGAGTGCCGCCTCTGTGGGCGGGGGAGGGGAGCAGGGTTCTGCGCTTCCCTCCCTTCTAGTCCTCTTTTATGGCCACTTTCTTCTTCGGGCAGTTCGCTGGCGTCACCCGTTTATCTTCCGTGTCCCAGTTCTCACTGGGACCTGCCGCTTTTCCTCCCTATTAACTTTTTTTAATGGGAGATCTTACTCGCAGCGTCTCCTTGCCGCCATGTTGCTCCGCCCCCTCCAGCATCATCCATTCATCTGTTGATGGACGTTGAATTGTTTCCATTTTTAGCGCTAGCGCTCTTGGGATAATGCTGTTACAAAAATTTTGTATGGATGTATACTTTCAGTTCTCTTGGGTATGCATTTAGGAGTAGAATTGTTAGCTCACAAGGTAACTTTACACTTTTCATTTAGAGAATCTGCCAGACTGTTTTTAAATCTGCTGCACCACTTCACATGCTCACCAGTAATGTATTATGAGGCTTCCAATTTTTCCACATTCTTGACACTTATAGTAATCTGTCTTTATTGTAGCCATTCTAGAGGGTGCCAAGTGGTGTCTTGTTGTGGTTTTGGTTTATATTTCCCTGGTTATTGATGTTGAACTCTTTGTCCTTAGTGTCGATTTTTATATTTACTTTGGAGAAACATCTGGCCAGATCCTTTGGTCTTTTTATGTTTGTGTTATTTGTCTTCACTAGTTGAAATATACAGGTTTATTAAGCTGCAGGGCTAGGATTTAAACCCAGATTTCCTGGATGTCAGAGCTAATGACCATTTTGTTCCATTTTCCCTGGGACTGTAATAATTTTTTTACAAATACACATCCCTTATCAGAAGGGATGACTCATATAGTAAGTTTGTGTCAGGATTTGTATATTTTTCTCCAATCTATGGTCTTTTCATTTTCTTGATGGTGTCCTTTGAAGCACTGAAGTCCTTAATTTTGATGATGTCCTCATGCAGGATTAGGATGATCACTCCCTGACACAAAACTCTCCAACTGCAAGATGTGTCTTTTGCCTTTACTTTCTACCTTAACAACAGCTGATACCCTATTTCCTGCCTCTTCTCCAGGGATGGTTGCAGAGGAATACAAAGCTTCTTTTACTCACTGGTGTCCCAGGATACACATGAGATGACTTACTCAACTAAGCATCAGAGATTCTTGATAGATCAGTGGTATAGCTTTAAGGTATGTATCCATTTTGGTCTCTTGTCAGAGTGGAGCCAAGGCTTATTTTGTACCCAGGCCTCCAGAAATGGGGGCCACCAGCATGGGACAGAGCTCAGGCAGACACTGGAGACTTTGCAAAAACTGATGTGTGGTGGTGCCGGTAGTAGGGAGGTTTGAGGGACAGTATCATGCAGGACTCCTGTCTGCCCTCAGCTTCTCAGAGTGAATAGTCAGAATGGGACCTTAGAAGCACAAGGCGTGGAATTTCTGCTTATTGACTTTTTACCGTTGTGAACAGATGGTTGGTTAGATGTTGGTGGAAAGCGTGCCTGCCTTAAGCAAAATAGTTTAGGAGAAATGCAAACACCACTTGATTTTACTCATAATGTGAAAGAAACAAAGCAAAGGAACAAGCCAAGCTGAACCGAAACAAACCCTTGGATTCTGATTGTAGAATTGATTCTTAGATTCTGACCTCATAACCGAGGTTTCTAGAGGGGACCTGGGAGGTAAAAGCAAAGGGGGGAGGTGCCGGTCCTGCCTGCAGGCCGACAGGGTTCAGGAACACGGTGGAGGGGCTGGGGATGAAAAGACGCGTGCACTCTCTTGGCTGGAAGCAGGAACTCTCTTTATTCGAGGGGAGGGGCTATAGCTCGGAAAGCCTGCGCATGCGCTTTAAGTGGATTTTCAACATCCGGTTACTGTTGCATCAGCCTCCGCTTTGGGCGGAAGTGACTCATCCTTGGGCGGAAGCGACCACCACCCCAGGTCCCCCTGCTGGTGTAAGCCAGGTACTGACATCTCTCCCGTTTTTACTTTATTGATGGGGGGGACACACACTGGGCCTGTCTTAGGTTGTGGCAGTCGTACTCACGTGCTTACCCGTCATAGCCACCCACTACCAGGATCCTAGGTAAGGTAGTGGAGCTGTCTTAGGTTGCTATGGGTACACCACCATCTTACCCGTCATTGGCCTACAGGTGGTCAAGGGCAATGTTTATCCACACCCTGGGATTTTCAGTGGGCTGTAATGGAGAAAAGCACACGTTTTGGAGAGCTACTTGCAGATTTTTCGTCTATTCCACTGGCACCACGTCTATTCCACTGGCACCACAGGATGTAGAAAATGATTTCCAGGCAGAAGAGGATTGTACCTAGGAGTGATATTGCTTCCCCCAAGGATTTTGTACTGAAGCACGGATCTTGTTAATGGTTAGAATTTGATTAGCCAATTGTGCAGTAAAATTGAGAAAGGTTTGGTTCCACGGGCCACGCAGGTTGGCATTAAGGGTATGAACTTGAAAGGAATAGTTGAAAAGGATGGCAGGTGTAACACACGTGAAGGCATAGGTAGGAATACAAGGAACATGAGCAGTTAAAGTCAATAAGTCAATTTCTTCCTGTATTAAGGAAACTTGTGGATTCAACTGGAGTAGTCCGACTGCGAGATGGTTGTTGATGGAATTTTGTAAGAGAAAGGTGCTGGAGACTCTGGAGTAGTCCAACTGCAAGATGGTTGTTGATGGAATTTTGTGTGAGAAAGGTGCTGGAGACTCTGGAGTAGTCCAACTGGAGATGGTTGTTGGTATCTGCGTTGAGTACGAAGTTGGATAGATCTAGGCCGCCGACCACTGCGGCCGCAGCTGCCAGAGTCGAGAAGACGGAGATCAAGGTGCCAACAACCAATGCCGGATCTGCTTGTTGATTTCAGATGATTACCTGAGAAGTAGACTCAGACACATTGACAGGCATAATAATGACCTTAGGGAAACGCATGACAACAAAAGAATTGCTGAGGGTTCTGGACCAACAAGAGGAAAGGTGACAGCTACAATTGAGGGAGGATTGATTGTTGAACGATAGATTGAAAGACACTATAGAAGGGAGTCCAGTGGTGGAATTGGTAGACAAGAATGACAGGAGAATACCCCCCTTTCTGGAAACCGGCAGAAGGAAAGGGGGATTATTAACTATTGTCCAATGAATCATGTTGCAAAGGAGGGGGGGTGCTGGGCTGATGGCTGCAGAGCTGCCGCCATGATGGTGCCTGTAACGGTAGCCCCGTCAATATCCTTACACAAGCGAATGTACCCAGAAATATCCTGTTTATCCTTCCATGGGCGAATGGCCTCCTGGCACCATTTGTTAGCATTTTCAAATGCCAATTGTTTGACTAGTATAGAGGTAGGCTCGCCCTCACCCATAATTCGAGAGGCTGCTGTTAGAAGGCGAGCTACAAAGTCAGCAAATGGCTCTGAGGGGCCCTGAAGGATTTTTGTAAGGGATTGGTGAGGCTGTCCCCTGGATCCCAGTGCCTTCCAAGCTGATTTTGCAGCCAAGGCTACTTGTGCAAAAACAACAGGATTATATAAACATTGTTGCTGATTAGTCCTATAATTGGGACCCTCCCCGGTTAACATTTCTTTAGTTTGTTGGGGAAAACCTCTTTGAATATTGGTTTAAGCATACTGGTCACAGAGTTCTGTAAACTGACCCTTCCACAAAAGATAATCCCCCGGGCTTAAAACCGCATGGAAAGTGTCCTTCCAGTCATTGGGTGTCATAATAAAGGTTTCAAAGGTGTCTAACATTTGGTGAACAAAAGGGCTCTGAAGTCCATAGTCTCTGATAGATTCTTTTAAGAGCTTGAGGTCTTGGAAAGGCAGTGCTGAATGTTGCCGGACCTGCTGGCCCTGATCATTTTGAACAACTGAGACCGGGCAGGCCAGAAGGGATTCCCGAGAATTTTCAGAGTTGGAGGGTACAAATCTTGAAAGAACAGAAGTTAACTGTATAAGCCCAGGAAGGTCTGGGTCAGAGCCATGGGAGTTGAGTGGAGGGGCAGAGGGGAGAGTGGTGGGTTGGTGGGGGGGATGCCGCCGATTTTTGGTTGATGGGGGTGGTCTATCATAGGGAGGTGGATAGTCTGTATTGTCCTCCACATTCCCCTCGTCTGAAGAGGAATCTCCCCCTGGATTTGAGGATTGAGAAGGGGGAGTTTCTGTGGCTGAGCTTGCTGCGGCCGAGTATGTGGCAGGCTTTTTGCTTTCGGACTGAGCTGCAGAGTGCAATACCTCAGCCACTAGTTCATAAGCAGCTGCTCCCCCATCACTAAGGGCATCATGGACTAGCTGCCACACAGAAAAAATACGGGGGGGAATAGTTTGGGGTCCATAAAAGTCCCTGTAAAGAAGGAAGTCTGCTTTGACCTTTTCCCAGTTTCTTACTGAGACAGTGTCCTGCTGAAAGAACCATTTGCTGGTATTTGCGAGGACTGAGACTAGATCATGAAGGGTCTGAACCTTAATGGGAGTTCCATAATGTTTAAGCAGAAGTTGTAGGGCTCTAACAAGTTGGCCCTTGGACATGGTATTGCCCATGATGCCGATCACTTACCTAATCCTTACCTTACTGATTGATCGGTCCCTCAGAGGATCCCTCGTACTCATGCCCCACGTTGGGCGCCACTTGCCGGTCCTGCCTGCAGGCCGACGGGGTTCAGGAACATGGCGGAGGGGCTGGGGATGAAAAGACGCGTGCACTCTCTTGGCTGGAAGCAGGAACTCTCTTTATTCGAGGGGAGAGGCTATATCTCAGAAAGCCTGCGCATGCTCTTTACGTGGATTTTCAACATCCGGTTACTCTTGCATCAGCCTCCGCTTTGGGCGGAAGTGACTCATCCTTGGGCAGAAGCGACCACCACCCCAGGTCCCCCTGCTGGTGTAAGCCTGGTACTGACAGGGAGGGAGTTAAGTGGCCTGCAATGTAGGGTTTTTGGGACTTTGGTGGTGGGTGAGGTTTGATTACACACACGAGGAGGTATGAACTTGTACTGGTAAAACATACACGTAAGCTTATGTTACCTCACTTTAAATTTAAATAAAGGTGTTTGCCTCAGAGGACTTGAAATGCTAAGGAGCTGTGGCTGTCAGTATACTTTTTAGGGGTGGCCATTCCAGGTGCCTAAAGAGTCAGCCAGGTGAGTGGGCCTCTAATGACACCAGATCCTCCATATCCAAGTCAGGAGTTTGTATATTTTGGGAGGTTCTAAAGTTTTCAACCGACTTTCATTTTCTTTTGCATATGGTTTATTTCTTGTTGACTCATATAGTAACTTTGTGTCAGGATTTAGTGTCCCAAAGGGTTTTTGATTGTGAAACTGGGTGGAGGGTGCCAGAAGCAGGAAACTGCTTTTAGCCAGAAACAGTAACACTTTTCATACTTTTTGCAGTAGGACGGATTTTTGAAAGATTTGCATTTTGACCTTTTTATCTCTTTATCAAAGGCACATGCTGACAGCAGCATCAGAGCTCAGGCAGGCACTGGAGCTCTGATGCTGACCTCCTGACTCTAGGGACGGTCAGTGCAAAAGAAACACTGAGTTAGGAATAGCTCTGGATTCTCCAAAATGTGTACGCGACAAAAACGGTACCCAGGCGTGTACTCCCCTTTTCCTTCCATACCTCCAGTGCTGATTGCTGAAAGTGGCAGGACTGGAGTTCCCTGAATCTTCATCCTGCCATTCCAGGAGGGTGATCAAGCCAAGACCAACGTGTCCTATATTTGTCCTTCTGAATGTGGCCACCTGAAGAACTCTGCCCAATTCCTTACTGCTAGGAGCTTTCTTTAATTAAAATTATGAGGGGAGTCTGGCAAGAGGGTGGCAGAGTGAAGGTGTTGGGCTTGCCTTCTTCAAATGAGGACAGCAAAACTGATGTAAAACGAACCCAGAAGACCTCTGAGAGAAAAACTGATTAGCATCATACATAATAAGAGCATCGGCCCAATGGAAAGGGGTAGGAAAAACCTCACGTGAGCCCTGTTTAGAGTGATAACAGGGCGGGACAATCCCCAAGAGATGAAAGTAGCTCCTGTGCAGCACTCTACAGTTGTTGATTCAGATACTTGCCA